GATGCGGGTCAGAGGTTGATCGGGTTACCTTACTATCAGCTCTTGGTCTACGATATACGTTATCATGTTTCGACTTCGTTTTACGTTCGTTGCACGACGCTCTACGAACAACACCCCGAGAACTCTCCGAAAGGCCGGCGATTGCAAGGTTTCCGTCAGAGCCCGACAAATGACGTCGTAAACGTGGTGACGATGACATCACAGGAACGTCTAGAAATTCGTTTGAATTCTTCCAGAAATTACGGTTATGTTTCGTGGTCGGTGATTGGCTTGACGTTGCCCCGGGAGACTGAGTTTCAGCATCATCAGCAGTTAGACATCTGCTACCATCACTTTGTAAGACAGCTCGATACAAGTTCTGAAAACACGGACAAAAATGACAGCTCATAATTTCCTCTCAAATATCAGGATTACTTGCAATTGAGTTGACTAAAGACCACAAGGATTTCTCCTCTTGTGGTAACAATGGAGCAATAACGGATAAACCTTGGACTTCCTAGTTTGGACTTCCTCCTATAGTAACACTGCTTCCTACGGGATGTCCCTTCAACTTGAGCTCAAAGGAACACAATTTGCAATGGAGCTATCCAGTACTGGTACTAAGTCAGTTTAGATCTCTGAGGGGAACAGCTTACTGATGTAGAACTGATAAAGCTATGCAGCACAAATAAAGTTTCCTGCCGTAGTTCTGGACCAGTAAAGCCTGATTTACACTATCAAAGTTTCTGTGATCACAGTAGGAATTTTGCATACTTGTCATACTTAGGTAAATTAATTCTAAGTTTTTGCAAGATTTGTAAGAAATGCATGAGGAAACTGACTGAGTGTTGAACATGCCGTGAGTTACTTCCCTCAAACATTTCTTACAAACCCATCAAAGCTTAGAATTTTACTTGCAAAATCTGATCTAAGAAAAAGAACAGTTTAAAACTGACAGACCTATCCAGTTCAAATAAATTTAGCTTAATTATTGATATATTTAGAATCTTACCTTTGCTTTATCAATCTGTTCAATCCATTTTGCTTGAACAACGGGATTAGGGGCGTGCAGAACATAGGCACAGACGACGATACGATATTCGTTTAAATAAACCAACAAAAACGTTCCTGGATCTTTGAGGACATGCACTTTCACCTTGTCAATACGAAGAGGCTGAAACAAATAAAATAAACAATATTAATAAAGCAAAATGGGGAAAAAAAGGCACACGTCCTAACATACCGGCTTCACAATCTTGAATTTGTCCATTTTCTTTGCTTTTGTCAACAATAACATATCAGTGAAAAGAAAAACGTGAATGTCCATCTAGTGAACGAAAAATAAAGTTAGACAAAGAAAGCTTATAATCAAATAAACTAAACTATCTTTGTTTATAACGGATATAATTAATAGCTTTATCAGATCTAAATTGTATTTGTCTGCAGGCGCCCAGAAAGGGCTCGACGGGCTCTTTACAATTAACTTTTGTAAGTAACTTTTAGGTCCTGAAAGGCCAACTTCTTCTAACCATATCTCAACAGCAATAGAGATTCACTTACTCTGCCCTGTTTCTCATTCAAACGAAGAGGTCCATTATACAAAAGACAGCGATGTTGGTTCTCACAAGCTCCAGGCATCGTACGAGTTATATCAAAGTCACAATAGTTATCAATAAGAACCTACGAAAACAAACAGAAGTTTTAACGAGTGAAATAATACGAGCAAAAATTGTTGCAACTTGTAACAAAGTCTCCTCTCACCGCATGCAGGAAGGATTAAGCATTTTGTCTCTAGTGTTGTAAAGTGTAGCAAGTAAATAAATAATATTGTTAGGGGGGGGGCTTATAAATTTTTCTTGCAGGCTTACTTACTGTGAGTGAGATCAGTGTGACAAGCCTGGTCGTGAGAAATGCTAGATGTTTGACTTTCAAGTTTGATTTACACTTAGTCATCAAGAACCTTTTTTCTTCATGTGATTTTGAACTGGTAAAAGATACTTTAACGAAATGTTTTATCAAATGCAAAGAAAGGCATCACTTATTTTCTAAAAGTTCAATATTTTAGTCTCAAACTACTCATCACCTTAGTGATGGTCAAACATTTGTTCACTATTAGCCAAACACGTTTCACTCTAGACTGTCACATGATTTAAAGTACCTTTTCCACTTCATCACTAACAGGATCGACAGGCCAGTAACTTTCAATTTTGATCGCAGCTTTATTCAGGTTTTCTTTTTCATGTCGTATTTTCATGCAGCCGTCAACTTTACTCACGAATTTTTGCACAGTTGAGATCTAAAGAAAAGATCAGAGTTGAGAGAATGTACAAAACCTGTACGACTTGCTTCATTAGAGGTTAAGAAAGAGTTCCGTTGTGATATCGGCTAAATTCCTACAATGTTTCGTTGATATTTTTCTTACCATTGACGTAATTTCCTTTCTTTTATCTTCGTCCACAGTTTTCTTTAAGATTGCTTTTAACAACAACGGATATTTTGTGAGTCTTTGCATTGGTTTGACGAGAAGATCACTAAGCTTTAGTCGTTTGCATTCCGGACGACTTTCGCACCACTGTGTAGAGAAAATAATATAAAAAATGTCAGTAAAGTTTTGTTGGTTCTCTCTTGTGCTTCCTGGGATTTTCAACAGGCTATCTTCCACACCAAAAGTTATAAATCCTTAATTGTTGAACACTTCTATCATGAGCCTCTAGCTCGGGTGAATAAAGAAAATATAATTGCAAATATTATTTCAAATTTTCATCAAACCCTCAACTTGCCTCCACATATATTTTAAACAGCTCATCTTCTGATTGCTTCTGTTTGAAGTATTTTGTACAACTGGATTCCTCCATACAATATTTCAGATACGGTTCAAACTGACTGTCAAACTAAACACAAAACCAAATAAACTGTAAGTACACACTCTGAAATTCAATCTGGCCAATCACTAAGTGTTATTATACTTACCGTTGAAAAACCGTCTGCCATATAAAATGGATTTAATAATTTCTTAGTATGTCTTGCCTGCAAAACATAAAGGTAGATTTAATTTCTTTCTAGCTTTCCTGAGGTGAGGTCATTACTGGAAACGTCTTAATTCACATCAGCTTGTAATTTTACGCCGCGCTTAAACCTCACGTTTGAAGATGTTTATTTTATTTCAAAATTACTGAAATATATAAACCCTCTAAATATATTAAAGAAAACAGGAGATTAAAAACTCTGTAAAAAAGCTGCGGTGCAAGGTAACAAGACGTTTCGAGTCAAGGCCCTTCCTCTGCTGGAAGTAGCGTGGGTCGGGTGCTTTAATTTATACTGCTGAAAACTGGTAAATACAAAAGCGATCACGTGATAACTCAGTTATAAAGTTAGACAATTTATTGACTTATTATATAGACCTACCATATTCATCACAGGCTTCAATGTGCTAAGCCAGAATGACACATTCACAGCATAAATTTCTTCAATATTACTGAACAAATTTGTGAGGTCAATCTGCAAGTTTATAATGACACTAATTAGATGTTTCAATTAACGACTATTGTTTAATTGTCCACAATAGATTTTTCTAATTGATACAATCATTTTCATACTAACCTCAGTGAGGTATCCCTCGTATTGAATATTTCGTAGGCACAAGATAAATATCTGTATAAAAGTTGAACATTATTGGTGATTTATTAAATTGACCAAAAAGAAACTATATTATCCCAAGAAATTGTACAAGTAATGGCCCGACTTATACTAGAGTTCGTGTGATAAACACGTAAAAATCTCACAACTTGTCAAGAAGATGTGTTCGCAACAGGCTTGTTGCAAGATTGCCAATGAGTTTCAACAATGTTGTTATTTTATCTAGTTGCCACAAGGTTGTCACTGACAACTTGTAACAAGTCTGTTGAGCTCAACAACCTTGTAGCAACGCCGTTGACAACTTATGTTGACAAGTTGTTGGAACAGCATTGCTACAAGTCTGCTGTAGGCTTGTTACACTTGTGCGTTTTTTACGTGTGAAGTTTGATTTGACAGATGATACCACGTCATTGGATGAAAAAAAAACCCAACTAATGCTCTCTTACCAGTACTTAGCGGATTTTCGCAAGCATGGCAAGGTCAAGGCAGTGTATAATCTGTTTCAGGCGATATTCCAGTTTGTTTTTGCGGTGTTAATCCGCCAGACTCCGTCTCTGGTATAAGTCGAGCGAATTTGGTGTCAAGTGAGTGATAAGTACATACTTTTTTTATGACTTGAAGTTTAGTGATGTATGCGACCTCTGTTGAGAGTAACTCCCAGATAGCTTCTTGCTGATCACGGACACTTTTACTAAGATCCTGAAGATGAGTAGAAACGAGGTTATGCAATAACCAGCAATAACCAAGATTAACAACTACTGTAAGGAACAGCGCGCGCGGAGCCTGGGGATGGGTTTCATGCTACAAGGGCGTTCAGTATATAATGTGCCAGCTCATTGTGCCAAGGGCAGCTTGCCAGGAGAATATAAGTCGCCTGTTTACTTCAAACACAAGTTGGAAAATCCAATCATCCTAAAACAGACATTCGGAATCGTTTAATTTCCACAGAGTAACTCCGTCACGGTGTGATAGGTCCGACAGGTGCAAACGGATGGTCAGGTCAATATACTCGAAATTCCTACATGCCCCTTGACCTGAATCCAAGTAATTGCAAATGTTTGATAAACTGGTAAACACTGCAGACCTCCCAACACTTGCACCGAACCATCCACATGACGCGTAAGTTATGTTGCTGTAAGTGTTAATCTGGATTCCAGATTCCATCAACACACTGGATCCTACTCTGATCCTATTCTGGATTCCATGCTCTGGATTCTGGATTCCATTACATACAGTAGGACGAATAGAAAATGGCAACAGAGCGCTGATATAATAAGCTGTATATAGCACCCTTGTTGGCGGCATAACAGTGAGTGTATGTCCATTACAAATTGCCTGCAGTCGCATTTCTAGAGTGTTTCCAATTTAACTGAACCAAATATCGCCGCTTTTCTCTAGGTACTTCGGTTTCCTGGCTCCTGTAGTAACACTGGAGAAATAAAGGATAGTTCATACAAATTTTACTGAACATCTAGAGAAAACCGCGCTTTCTGCATCAAAAAGTTAGTTTAGTTTATTTTAGCAAGAATACAGTACTGCGCAATCCACAGACAAGGGATTTCAGAATTACCTCACAGTCTTCCACGACTTCGGTCCACGAGTCCTCCTAGAACAAAAATGAAATACACATAACAATGTAAAACAGGAATGATGGATTCCATAAACAAAACATAGAAGTATCACATAGTAAATTTTCAGATATACATGCAGTACATATAAAAACAGATTTATTTACCAAATAAAACTGCTGTTCGTTTGAAGAGGTGGTTTTCGAATCACTTTCCAATCCATAGACAGTAAAGAATTGCAAGAGCTCTGGCAGAGGCCTCACTGGAGTAAAGTCCTGAAAATATAGAAGATGATGTATTATTGAAAACCGAACTTGACTATGTGTTCTTATAAGATATGTTCTTATACGCTTGTCAAATATTGAGTATTTTTTCAACATTATGAAAAACTATATCGGATACTAGCTTTCCGTAACAGCGCGAAAAAGCACATTGAACGAAACAACGTTGCAATAATTCCTCTGAAAATATCGTAAAAAGTACGCGGATAGGGGTAAACGTTAGCCGAATAGGCTCACCTTTCCTCTGTCTTTGTTAAGAGCACTTGGGTTTCCAGTAAATAAACCGGTTAGTATCCCCGCTGGTCTGCTTTTCTGAAAAGTATTTGTGCTGACATTGCTAGACATTGCGACTTCACTGTCCACTGGCGTTGATGGCCCGGACTTTTTGCCCTGTTTCTAAATATAGTAGATTGAAGACAGTTATTTTAAAATGTCAGATCAAACCATAAAACAAAACTGAACGAAGATTTATGAGGACGACATTTACCTAAATGTGCATAAGAAGCAGATATTATTATTTTCCTCAACGAAAGAACTCTTCAAACTACTCAGTACTGTAGCGTCTTTTATATTTGATCTTTTATATTTTACCATTCTTCGTTTGTGAGATATTTCGTTTTCTTTAATGAATCAGAGGCAACTAACGTCATGCGTGAATAATGAGACGTCAGTAAATAGTTTTTTGCTTGCATTTACCGGGCCAAACCACGCGTGTTTACTTTTCGTACATCATTAATCTTCCCGATCCTTGAAAGATTTCATTTCATAATATTGGAAGATATAAACCCTTCACTGATAACTCGTTATATGTAAATATGACGTCAATATGACGCCAACTTGGCTGTACTACTTTATTAAACAAAATTAAATATCTCAAAAATAAAAAATGGAGAAAAAAAGGTATAAAACTTAAAAGCCAGTGTACAATTCTTTCAATTAAGATAATAAACAGTTTCGTGTCATAATTCATTTTAAATAGGCAAAGATCAGCTTAATATTGAGTTCTATATTATTACTAACTGACAAAGCGCCAGGTTTGTGAATGCTGTCGACCACGAGATAGTTCTTTTGTGCGATTCTCAAGAATATTTTCATTAATATGTTTAAACAGACGTCCTATTTGAATAGATTCATATAATTGTACTACAACTAGATTTGCTAGTTTTGCATCACTTCAACTTGAGCAAAATTAAATCGCGTATATTTTACACAATAAAAGTTTCTGTGATCACAGTAGGAATTTTGCATGGGTAAATTCTAAGTTTTGAAGGATTTATAAGAAATGTTTGAGGGAACTTACTCAGTGTTTAACATTAAGTCAGTTTCCTCAAAAATTTCTTACAAATCCTTTAAAACTTATAATTTACCTATGCAAAATATATACTGTGATCACAGAAAATTTGATACTATAAAACCAGCCCAGTTTAGACTCGGCAAAAATTAGTACTGTGCCAACGCAAATATAGTAAGGAGCTACCTTCTCCGCAGGCAGTGGCAGAAATTAACTTTTTTCGGGGGGGGGGGGGGGGGGGTAAACAGTTTATAATGGACATCATCTTGATTGATTTATTTTTCAAATCAGTAATAAATCATTCTAACAAACCTTAGTTGTTTCTTCATTTTCCTTCTCATCTTGTTTGACTCCAGCTTCTTCTCGCTTCTTACCAAAAGATGGCGTTCTTGATACAGGATGCTCTGGCTGGCCTCGTGACTTCTCTGATATATCTTTCACTCTTTTATCAACACCGGAATGATCTAAAATTGAAGTATCTTTGTTACATATTAAGCGTTCATCCGAGGTTTGGATTTAAGAAAACGAACATTTGTGATTATATTTTGGCATCATTTGCCTACAAAACAATGAAGGCCAGACCCTTATTATTTTGCCAAGCACTCAACAGAAGGAATTAAGTTTCTACTGGACTTCTAGGCAGAAAAGTTTAGAACTGACAGAACTATCAAGTATAAATAAAGGTAGTTCTTGCTACATCTGTAGTTAATTTAAAAAATATTACCAGACAATCCCAATTTTCTTCTACTTTTCTTTAGTATTGTGATTCTTAGTTGTATTTGCAATTGTAATTGTAATTTGTAATTGTAATAGTGTTATGTAGATATTTTTAATGTACACGGCTCCATGGAAGAGCACATTTTGTGAAATGGACTCTGTGTGTAAATAAAGTTTTAATAATAATAATAATAATTCTTGTTGTAGTGAATATTGAGTTTTTTTATTTAACCAGGAACAGCTGCGAAAAATGCAACTAATTCGGCTCTATGGCAGAAATCGGATCTGCAGCCCTGCAATTCCGGTGCAGTGCTCTAATCAATTGAGCTACAGAAACCAGTTGTCGAGCTCTAACAACAAGTTGTATATATATAGTGGGTGAGGCCAATATATGTATGGCTAAATATCGAGATTTTTTGGGCATCTCAGTGATCTCACTAGAATTTAACAGCAATAGAATTACAGTAATTGAAGTTTTTTTTTGTAGATGGAAAATTTCGAACTGAAGATTATATACAATTTTAGATCGCACCAAGAGCAGCTGGAAAAAATGCAGCTTAAGAGGGCCTATAGCTACATTTTTCACAGCTGCTCCTAAATTAGATCTAAAATTGTATATACTACCTGTAATCGTCAGCTTGAAATTTCCATCATTCTACAAAAAGCCTTCTACATACTGTAATTCTTGTAGCACAGCACTGACCAATAAGAAGTGGTGGTTCTTACTGGGATGCAACAATTACCTTAACCCAGTGAAAATAAACTTAAGTTTGTTTCTTCAATCATCCCTGATCACTTACCTCTAACATGAAGTATATTGCCACACAAAGGGAATGTTTCAAATGCTAGAGGAAGTGGAGTATTGGAAGTGTCCAAAAACACGGAGTGACTTTCAAATGTAATATTGTATTTCTCTAGCATTGGTTCCAGTGAATCCCTAGACGAGAAGAAACAATTTAGCATCCAATTGTATCCAATTTTACTTTAGCTATTTATTTGAGACTTATTTCTCCATTCTTTCTCTCAGTATTTCCTTGCAATCCTTTTATAAAGAACACATGCTTGTTTTCTCCAATTTTTCTTCTCCATTTCTTCTTTCCCTTCCCTGTCCTTCCTGTCTTTCATACATTTCTTCCATTCCTTTCAATATGACATTATCCTTGATGTATGTATCCTTGATAAATATGATCCAACAAACATTAACAACTTACTTCAGTGTTTTTCCTTTCAAAGCTGGGATCAATTCAAGATTAAAATCTTCAGAAGTTCCTGTGTATATCTTCAATCTGATGAACTCTCTTCCTGGATCCTGAAATTTAAAAAGTGAACCAGTTAAAATTATAATTAAAAAATTATTTAAACATAATAAGCCATAGTTTCCTACAGGCTTTTGCTCAATTAATAGAGAGTTTAAAGAATGGGCAATGTTATATTTTCTACATACATCCGTGTTATGTCTTCTAGGTTTCTTTTTTGAATTGTCCGTTGTCAGTTTCATGAATTTTCTTCTACTACTATGAGCTTTGCTTTTTGACTTTTCTCTACATTAACAATTTTACAAGAATTCATCACATAGAATATGACACTGCTGATGACAGTGCGGACAAGAAATATACCATATTATGGAGTGGTTCTGTAGTTTTAATGGGCTGATGATGGTAAGGGTGATGTTATGGTAGTGACGATATCATCGGTGACAATGATAGTGTCATGGCAGCTGCTGATTGGTCAGATGTTCTTGTATTATAAAATTTTATCTAATAACGCAAGCTTTCAACTTTCCAAGTACTATGCTTGCATTGCAAAGTAATATATCTAACAATGACATAATTGCAACATACGTATGTGCAGGGGCGATGTCATCTTCTGCTCCAGAATCTGATTCTGCTATTTTACTTGAGGACATTTTTTCAAAGCCTTCATTTCCTAGAAATATTACACAAATTGCAGACACTCAATAATTGGTGTCTAGTGGGGACACTTCTCTAATATGGACACCACCTCTCTAATATGGACACCTCTCTAATATGGACACCTCTCTAATAAGGACACCTCTCTAATATGAACATCTCCCTATATGGACACCTCTCTAATAAGGACACCTCTCTAATATGAACACCTCTCTAATATGGACACCACCTCTCTAATATGGACACCACCTCTCTAATATGGACACCACCTCTCTAATATGGACACCTCTCTAATATGGACACCTCTCTAATAAGGACACCTCTCTAATATGAACATCTCTCTAATATGGACACCTCTCTAATAAGGACACCTCTCTAATATGGACACCTCTCTAATATGAACACCTCTCTAATATGGACACCTCTCTAATATGAACACCTCTCTAATATGGACACCTCTCTAATATGGATACCACCTCTCTAATGTGGACACCTCTCTAATAAGGACACCTCTCTAATATGGACACCTCTCTAATATGGATACCACCTCTCTAATATGGATACCACCTCTCTAATATGGACACCTCTCTAATATGGATACCACCTCTAATGTGGACACCTCTCTAATAAGGACACCTCTCTAATATGGACACCTCTCTAATATGGACACCTCTCTAATATGGATACCACCTCTCTAATGTGGACACCTCTCTAATAAGGACACCTCTCTAATATGGATACCACCTCTCTAATATGGACACCTCTCTAATATGGATACCACCTCTAATGTGGACACCTCTCTAATAAGGACACCTCTCTAATAAGGACACCTCTCTAATATGGATACCACCTCTCTAATGTGGACACCTCTCTAATATAGACACCTCTCCAACACAAACACCTTTCTAATGTGGACACCTTTTTAATATGGATACCTCTTTAAAACAGACACCTCTCTAATATGGACACCTCTCTAATATGGACACCTCTTTAATATGGATATCACCTCTCTAATGTGGACCCCTCTCTAACACAAACACCTTTCTAATGTGGACACCTTTTTAATATGGATACCTCTTTAAAACAGACACCTCTCTAATGTGGACTAACTGACTCCTCTAATATGGATATTTCTCTAATATGGACACCTCTTTAATACAGACACCCCTTTAATGTGGACACCCCTCTAAATTATATGGACACCTCTTTAATATCAACACTTCTGGCCATGATTGTTGTACACTGATGACTAACTGATAATCAATCTCAGTAATCGTCAAGATTAGTTAGGCTCTCATCAACATACTTTTTCCATAATCATTGTTTCTAACCTTTTATTTCGAAGCGTGCATGAGTCTTAGATACTCCAGCATGGGTGACTCGATCACAATCCAGACAAAGTATAAGTGGCTGTCCATTGTTTGAACTTTGGCAGTCTTTATGATGGCATACCTATGATAAATAATAACACAGTGATAGACTGGATATTAGGATGCTCTGTCTCAACAAATGTGGAAGAGAAGTTTGTCTTAGAAATTATTTTTTTGTGTATAACACAGCAAACAGATATGGACCATTCATCACTAACTTCCTGACAAAAGGTCTTCACTCAAAACATCAAAGTTTTCCTTGTATTTTTCAGGTAGTTGAATCCGGCTACCCATCTACACTTCTCTTGTGTAATTTAGACTAAGATGGACACAATACAGACTCTTCTTATCTGGTGGAAAGTAGATCAAATTTGACTAACCTTTGAAGCTATAGTCTTTACACTAAAGTTCTTACACAATCTTCCCTGACATAAGGGTGATCCTACAAATCAAAATAAACAAAACTAATATGACATGATAGTCATCGAAATTTTGAAGCTTTACAAACAAACAGTCTTGAATTACCAGATAGCATAATATTACTCTAGTACTTCTTTCACAGTATGAAAGCATTTAGTTTAGCTGGCCCATGATAGTAAAATACTAAAGGCATCTTTCCATATCTCACAGCATTGTTATTTGTTCACAATTCACATGACTTTCATATGAGAATTCAACTTCCTAATATTCAATGACAGATGTTTTAGCACTTGATCGGGGTAATCCCAACATTTATTTTTCCTACAAATCTTAACCGCCACTCTGGTGTGTACAAAGTAAAAAAATAATCTGGTATTAGACAGAGTAAAATAACAAAGTAAGACACATTACGGTGCAATACAACTCAATGGGCTAATAGCCTAATATATAACAAATTATTCCTTCAAGAGCAAACAAGGAATAGTATCCAACTATTTAGTGAATTGCCATATTGAAAAAATTCTGGAAACCATACAGTATCAAAATACAGATACAATTGATATACGATATACCTCAGCATGACCCCCAGTAAGGGTTCAAGCTATTGTTAATCATTACCAGTGTAAGGCCCTCCGTATGTCAAATCCAGTGTGTGGTTCAGATAATAGGATATAATAGTAAAATAATAAAATAGGACACACATTTCCAGTCGCCAAAATACACATGATTAGATGGTGTATTAACTGCATTAATAGTCAAGAGTCTCCCCAAGAGTAAAATCATCTGGTGTAAGACAGCTAGGTACAGAGTAATAAGGTGAGAGCTTCGAAGCAAAGGGCTTTTGCTCAGAACATCAAAGTTCTTGTTATATTTTTCAAGTAGTTTGATTGTGTAATCCCTCAAGTATATCATTCATCACTATACTTACAACACAACCCAACATTCAAAATTTTGAAATTATAAAGTAGAAGGTAATGCTCATTCAAACAGGCTAATTACATGGTTTTGAACATTGGAAAATTAACTAATAATATATATATATATATACATAAATATGAAATTTTGTGTGTAGATTGACTCACAAAGCAAACAAAATTTAACTAGCCACAACTTTTCACATACAAGACACCAAAAGCTAGATATATTCATATTCTGTTGAAGTTTAGCCTTTTTTTTAAACCCCACATCATTAATTGTTACACATAACTGGCATATTGAGAATTAAATATACAGAAAATCACATAACAAATTGCCATTTCAACATTTATTATAAAAACAATCACCAACCAGTGGCTTGGTCAATTTCATAATCATATCTCAGGTAAAAAAATTTGGATTTGCCAAGTTTCACAGACATCTAATGGGAATTTCTCTGTCGTCTTGCACTATATATATCATATATCGAATTCATCAAGCATATTACCATCTGACACAGCTACATATAGTATTTGCAAACAATTGTCTAGCCACAGTAACATGATACACTAATTCAAATATAGACATGTGTTTTCTCAATTTCTTCACCACTCGACTTGAACAAAAATGCAATAACTACATTCCTTCTGGCAACGAGGGTTTAAGGTGGCTTTGTTCATAAAGTAAACAATATTACAATAGATATTTGGTATTCAACTTGTCATGGGGCACTTTGTCTGCATTATAATGCAAAACCACGTTTATATCATACACACTATTCACATTTATACCTGTGACATAACATTCTTACAAGGCCGACGATTTCACTTAGCAAGAAAATATTCTATATATACATTTTGGGTGTTACAATATGAGATGTGCATATTTCAAAGCGTTTCTGGCGCAATATACCGATGATTGTTATGGAGATTCTAAATTGAATCGACTATTTACATTGCTTGAAGATAAACAATAAATATCGCTGGTTTTAAGAAGCAGAGATCGACAATCTTACGACATTTCAGAAAAACAATTTCACGCTATCTTAACTATAACATAATCATGTACAGGAATAGAGTCGACGCCGCGGAAATCGCTTTAAAAGATCACATTCAAAATCATAAGTGGGAATACTTAAAAAATATTCGCTGCACAACATTCTAATGTACAGTATAAAATTTGTTCGAAGAAGCCATTTCGAAGAAAATGTATCAAATATCGTGTGATAATTGTCACAGATTTCGCAGCAGATAAATACTGTAGTATACATTGATTTCAAAACGGAAAATTAATAAATTCACACCATCCGTTTCTGTTTACATTAGCTATGGCTTTTTGAAACGAAGCAAATGCGAAAGCACGCTGCGCAAACGTGCTGAATAATTGGTAAATCAGTCGCATAGCGAAAAATTCCAAAGTACAAAATATTTCAAAATTCGATTTGAACATCGGTGTAAACAACTTCCGTCAGTTCAGCATCTGGATTGACTACATTATTACTATAAAGAGATTGTGGTGTTTGAAAGGCGAATTTTTATAAATATAACAGGATACAACCTTGTATACAATGCACTTCAAGTCAATTATATACAAGGGAAAATATGTCACCGTACGAGGCTACGAGCTGGAAAAGCCTCGTGTCGTCGGTATGTGCGGATTTTCACAGGTTATAAATCATAATTAGGCTAATATAGCTCTATATTTGAAGAACGAAAGCTGTAGGTTTGTAAACATAGTGTTGCCCGACATACCTTCATGTATTCTTTGCATTTAGAAAACATTCGTAGTTCACAGTCAGTGTTCTTGAAAGCTACACAGTACATTTGTGAACCATCATTCTTGAAATATCTCGTCGTAAAACAAGTTGACTAAAAAATTCCTTTCCAAACACCTTGGGGACAACTTGTATTCACACAAGAACAAAGAACATCAGTATCCCAAACGCGGACAACCACGGCGCTCTCTTTACCCGACAAAACTCGCCTACAGTGCTGTATTTTCACACCTTTTCCAAAGCAAAATAATTAGGCCATCCCCATGACACAATTTTACTCACATCTGTCATCAAATTGAAACATTTGAAACAAAAGTTTTAAAGCAAAATTCTCGCGAAAGTTGAGGTCGCGAAGGAAAGCAACCTCGTTGACAGCGAGTACTGACGTTCTACTCATTAACATATTAACAGCATTGACCAATCAGCTACGAGATTTGATATTCACTACGTGCCAACGCGGAAAAACAACCCCGGTTATTCGAAACGGCAAAATTCCCGGTGGGTATATGTACCACCCTACCAAATTACAGGTAAAAAGGGTGAAAAGGAAATATTTTGAAAAGAATTGTGGTTCTCATCATTATTTTTAAGTTTCCACGTACGAAACAAGCAAAACCCACGGAATCACGCGATAAAATTACGGTGGGACATTTGTACTTCATGAAAAAGTTACACTTCAGCGAAGTTTATGACTCCATCATTTAATTTGTTGAAACATTATTCATCTCTGGACGGACGCCGACGAATGTGATTAAAATTTTTTTGTCTAAAATGCATGAAACGTTTCCTGTATTTTTTGGTCCACCATCCATGTAAAACATTCAAATATAAAAGCATTCTCTCTGAGTCTCTCTATTTACTATCGGCAAGCAATTACCACGCCCACTGATTACTAATTAGGCAATAATTATGTCTTGGATGGATAGACTGTTTTGTCTTCATTGATTAAGAATTGAATAGGTTTTTAGAAACAATTCAATAGATTATCTGTATAAACGTCAACGGAGTATTTTCAACGTCATAGTTTTAGAATCTCACTCAAAATAGCACATACCTTAAGTAGCCGGAAAACGGTAAGTTGGCAATTTCATTTTTAATTTGTTACCAATTTTAAATAACCTATTTTTGTTTTGAGAGGGTGATAGCTTCACTCGTTTCCTTTTGTTGATAGTGCTTTTTTGTTGGCAATCTTAAGAATATGTTTGCGATGTTACTCTGAGTGCATATCCACACCGGGCGAGCTTGAAAAATATGCCCGGCCACGGTGGGCTAGTGTTCCAAAGGTCGTAGGTTCGAACCCCACCGTGGCCGGGCATATTTTTCAAGCTCGCCCGGTGTGGATATGCACTCAGAGTAACATCGCAAACATATTATTCACCTGAGTACACAACACCAACACAGAAAAAAAATCTTAAGAATGTTTTCATTTTAAACTGAGTTTCTTCTGAAAAATCGGCTAAACTTGGGAGACTCCAGATGATTATGATGTCTCCAAAAAGAAGATTAAACCCGTTCTCGTTATCCTACCAAACCAATCATTTTCATTTCAAAAACTAAGGTATTCATGTTTTACAGATTAATCAAACCAAATAATTTATTTTCCAATTATAAACAAATTCGGTTATTAGACCCCATTTCCACGACCCCAATTCGCTTGTCACGACATCGTCATCGAATGTCTTAAGCATTCAAAATTGCGATATGACAAAATAAAAAAAAAGGAGGAAATTTTGTGGGCAGACATTACTCCTGAAGGCATATGTTGATGTCGTGAGAAGCGAATCCAATGAATCGTGAGTGGGGTTAATAATTTACGCTACCACATATTTTATAGTCATTGTGGTCTACTTTAAAACGTCGCGCAACGTAGGACATGTTACGAAGCCCTGGTCAAACGAGAATAAGAGTTGATGAAAGTTGAGGAGCGAGAGTTTGCATGATATTTCTCAACTCTCATGCATCGGTGAAATCAGAACAAAAGTTGCCATGAGAGTTGGTGAGAGTTACTGGATACTATTGACTGGATTTTGAACGCGTTCAAAGTCAATGAAAGTTGATGAGAATGTATGATGGTCGATGAGTGCTGGGGTCGAACGTAACAGTTGCAACTCTCATTAAGCCTCGACCTCGTTTGACTGGGGCGCCCTAACTCATTGTGTGAGCTAATTAGCATTCGGTACGGTACATGAAAATTCGACAGCGTGGCAATCTACTTCCAAATCTTGATGACGCCATCGCGGGCCGCAGAGATGAGAAAATGTTGAGGATTGGTGACGAAAGCTAGATCTGTAATGCAGTCATGGTGGCCAGTGGGTGGTTTATCAGGGCCACGTTTAGGTACGTCATCTTGTGTCATCACTTGGTTTGACTTGCAGTAGACTTCTCGGAAAACTTCCGTGCCATCGATCAGACGAGAGCTTAAAATAAGAAACACAAGTTGCTTGAGTTAAATACTAACTAACCTTATTTAGAGCTTTATTAGTTCTAAATTATTGAACCAGACGATTAAACTCTCAAGCAGCAATGACCGAAACGACATACTTGTATTTCAATACGACATCATTTAGGTTGTCAGAGGATGAGCCAGCCACAATGCAAGAATCTTCAGGAAATTGCAAGTCCCAGAGACGAATACGCCTATCTGAACCTGCTGTTAGAATAAACTGACCAGCGTCAGGAGGACTGGTGTAGATTCCGTAGACAGCGTGAGGCGATACCTGAATGAATGCCATTAGTTAGTTGTTGAAAGATTTTGTAGATGGAAACTATAGGCCTCTAGCAGGAATCGAATCTGCGGTCCTGCGATCACGGTGCAGCGCTCTAACCAACTGAGCTACAGATGCCAGTTGTCGAGCTCTAACCAACTGAGCTACAGAGAGACAGTTGTCGAGCTCTAACCAACTGAGCTACAGATGCCAGTTGTCGAGCTCTAACCAACTGAGCTACAGAGGCCAGTTGTCGAGCTCTAACCAACTGAGCTACAGATGCCAGTTGTCGAGCTCTAACCTCTTCAAAACCCTTAGTTAGTTGACCTTATTTCAACGCACAACTATAGGTAGACAGAACAGCATGCTCAAAATGGGTTTCGTACCTGTGTTTGGGAGAGGGGTGGGGCATGACTTGCCCAAAGAGATTTCTCGCAAGCACCAGTCTCCAAGTTCCACACGGAAACTTCGTTGTTGCCATCAACAGAACAGGTCACCCAAGACGGCTTACACTGTGACAATGGTGCTGCAGAGAGACGTCGAACTCGAGCACCTGAAAGGAATCAAACTGCGGTCACATACACACACGTAAAAATTTCACAACTTGTCAACAAGATGTGTTCACAACAGGCTTTTGTAGCAAGTTTGGCAACAACAATGTTGTTATTTTATCAAGTTGCTACAAGGTTGTCACTCACAACTTGTTGACAAATTGTTGAATTGCAGGACGATAACAAGTTGTTGGAACAACTTGTAACAAGTCTTTTTAGCTCAACAACCTTGTAGCAACCAACAATTAGTTAAACTACAACTACATTATATACCTGAACACTGTAGCACGATATCATACGTACCTCTGGGATGAGTAAGTCTAGCTACGGGAAGTTGAAATCTCATATCCCAACAAACCAATTCTCCATTGCAAGTCCCAGCAGTGAGCCAATATTGTGAAGGATCTACCACGAATGACGTTATCAAACCTACAAATAATAAATTCATATTCTTGGTTTGCACCTGACGTCATGGCGGGGAGGAATGCTAACAAAAGAATCTGATTAGCAGCCCTTGCATTTGAAGCGTATTTTCATTCAACATGGCCGCCTGTATTTGTCTTATAATTCTCCAGGGATTGATTGCAAACCACTAATAAAAACAGCCCGATTAATAGTGCATACTATTCCTTCACGATCCGATTGGAATGTTCCATTGCTTTTCATTGTTTTGGAAATTCCACTGTTATCATGTCATTCTTCAACATACTTGCGAAGTTATACTTATCCAAGATTTTTATCTTCAAAAATGCTACCTAAAGCTGGATCATTCTGCAATTTCCAAATCGTATTTGGTGTTCGTATGTCCCAACCGTAGATCAAACCACGCACTGTTGCATAGGCCAAGACGGAATGAGAAGCTGGAACGAAATAAAACATGATAAAGTTTATTTCAAAGTTTTAACATTTATTGAAGACGCACGCAACATCCTATTTGTATGCAGTATATAGGAGACTAGAAACCCAACATGTTGGAACAAGCAATTTATTGTAAAGGGGTATGTCGACGTAGTCTCAATGTGAAATGTACTGTGGTTATAGTTATAAGTAGTCATGTCTGTTATTATTACATACTGCATATGCAGTTACGTCCATGCATGCAAAATTGTCTAAGAATCCGACTAAGGTCACATCAACTACAATCTCGTTCCCAGAGTATGCCTACTCGCGGGTTATGTAGTGGGAACTCTGGGAACGAGATTCCATCAACTACTGTACAGTGTGCCCCCATGACATATTACCTGTATTAAACTGATGCATATCCACCAGATCGCCACCTTGAGCTGTGTCCAATTTTGTGTTCAATTTAACAAGAGCTTTATACTGTGGTAATTGTGTCGATGACGTGCCAGGTAACACATCGGGACTAAAGCGGGATAAAAATAATTTACTTTCCGGGACCAGACTGAGGAACAATGGAAAACACATTCTGTCAGTTATATCACCATTTCCTAATTCACCTGTACTCTAAAACTAAATGTAGACTCAGGTACAACTATAAAAAAGTGATCGCTATATTCTACTGAATTAAACTGTAACCTTTATAAAATCAAAACTCATGAAATTGTGACTAAATGCACACAGTTTAGACAAGCTTGTCCTACAGGCATTTCACAGGTTGGAAAGGAATTTAATAAAATAGAATTGACTATTGAGCCACCGGATTGGCTATGGGCTGAGATTATAATTTGTTTGTATCTGCTGAACTACAGTTCTTTTTCTTTTGATTTCATCAAAAATTTCTGGTCCGCTAATTATATTATATATATTTACAATTGTTTTCTTTGATATACAGTATATATTCATGAAAACATACAATGGTCTTATTAAAAGCAACATTAAAATAAAACTACAATAGTGACACTTACTTAATGATGTAAATATCGCCTTTGTCCGTAGCGCATGCCAACGAATGTTCCCCTTGTAAAAATGCCAAGCCTTTCACTTTGCCACCTTAAGAAAAAATTACCATTCTGAGATGAATTTCCTAACATTCTGAGGGATAATTTTTAAGTATGTTATTGATAATTACGTTTGGTTTGGACATAGTTGGGAGTTACAGTTAACTCGGGGCGAACTTGTGTTTGTTAAAATAGGTTGACACTATCAAATGTTTCTGTGATCACTCACTGCAAGAATTTTGCATCGCTGAATTCTAAGTTTTGAAGGATTTGTAAGAAACTGACTGTTTAACAAAGAGTCAGTTCCTTTGAGTATTTATTACAAATCCTTCAAAACTTTCAAAACTACCGATACAAAATTCCTACTGTGATCCCAGAAACGTTGATAATGTAAATTAGCCTTGAGGTAAATCGAGTTTTTGTTAACAAGCTAACGCCGCCCGCATTCTAACCCTGGAGGGCCTGTTCGCAGGTTATTAACAAGTCGGGACTAGCTTCCACTTACGTGTGGCTGTTTCTCCTTGCTGAAGTTGAAATGTAAAACAGGACTTGACGACCATGCCCTGTTTCTCCACACGCTGTGTGTCCCACAGTTTCACTGTACCGTCATTCGATGCTGAGGCAAATAGGGATGTGTTGGGACAAACGTGAAGCCTAGGGTAAAATAATGATAGAAATGGATTGTATTGTGTAGCGTAGTGTTGTACTCACAACTGTAATTTAACATTTCATAATAAAAAATCTGAAATTTTCCATGGTCGGGGGGGGGAAACTGGAATGGATCAAAATTAATACACATTTCCCGCATTTGTTGGCTAGCAATAAAAACTACTTGTTTACAAAAGGTCATTTCAATCCTGGTTTTGTCTCGGACCGAACTGTGTCTGTGATAAAATATTACAAGACATACTTGTTAACAGCAGCTCTGTGCTCATGAAGATGAATTAATAAAGTTCCCTTAGGACGTCTGTAGAAAAAAACAAACAAAAATACCATTACATTGCAGAAAACAAATAGGTGTGTTTTACTCGCTGTATGCGTAAAAATCTCACAACTTGTCAACAAGATGTGTTCGCGACAGGCTTGTAACAAGTTTGTCAACAAGTTGAAACAAATGCTGGCATATCATGAATAACATTTTTCAAACCATGTTTACCTTGTCTGTCCTTTCTTGTGGGTGTTAAGAACTTTTTCTATCAGGTCCCTTGTTTTCACGTCTAAATACACAAACCAAACTTGTAATGGATTTGTACGAGTTGATTTTATCAAAAAGTTTTGAGGTGAAAGAGCTAACCAGTATAAAGTTAGTATAGTCTACCTTCAGCATGTTGTTCTCGCTTATGTTTCACCAGATCCCGCAGATTTCGTTTATAATCCGGCCCAGGTCGCAACGCTTCAGGTTGCGATATCTGCGCACTTTGTTGTGATTTGTTCTTGGCTTGGATAGGAGGTGTGCGAGATGGTGGTCGGGGGACTGGGTTCGAGGGTGCGTCGTCATTAGATTGGGTAGAATTTGTACGCATTTTGGGTTTACTTGACTAGGAGTAGACAGAAGATTGACATAAACATTAAATTTCACAACTTGTCAACAGGATGTGTTTGCAACAGGTTTGTAGCAAGCGTGTCAACAAGTTGTAACAATGCTGTTATTTTATCAAGTTGCTACAAGGTTGTCACTCACAACTTGTTGACAAATTGTTGAATCGCAGGACGATAACAAGTTGTTGGAACAACTTGTAACAAGTCTGTTGAGCTCAACAACCTTGTAGCAAGTTGTTGACAAACTGGGAACAAACAGTGCGAACAAATCCTGTTGACAAGTTGTTGGAACAGCATTGCTACAAGTCTGCAGCAGGCAGTAAGGCATGTAAAGCTTACCTGAGGCAATGAAACAGACCTTCCCAATGGTTTCTTGGCAGTTACAACGTCTCCTTGTTGGGTTAAGGTCTGCGAATTTGATGCCTGATTCGTGTTGCCAAATATTTGATTCCATTCAGCATTCTAGAAGATAGAAACAGATGATTAAACTGGACCCACCGTGCCCGCGACACTTCCACACGACCGGCCTTCGCTAGGGCGCTCTCCATTAATGAAGAGATCAGGTCCTGGTTTTTAAGAAAATTTGGCCAAATTAGACCTTTTAATTTCGTCAAAATTGTTTGGTCTTTCTGGTTCGACGTGCAAACGTTCTGCATTCCATTTAATAGTTTGATCGATCTGAGCGGCGTAACAGACTCAGCAATTTTCTCATTTCGAGATTTGCTGGCTTGTGATGTCGTGATACATACCAGAGGAGAATAATATTCTCGTTTAGTCTTCTTCACATTCTTCGTCTGTGACGATGTGTTGTCAGCTTTCTGTTCAGTTTTCACGACCAGATCAGCGTGACGTCTCACTATGCTGTTGCCAAATTTCTTCAACTCGACAACACCAGGTCCAGCTGGATCTTCGCTATGTTCGCTTTTTTCTGAAGATCTGAAAAAATAACAATAAGTGTCGAAGTTTCGTTTAGAAATTGGTACTCGGAAGTTTTCTTTCATGTTGTACAACAACTTACATGGTTTTCGAGCGATGTATTTTCATGATGACTGTCTGCAGGTGAATTAACATGTCTTCTTGTCCATCATTCATTCCTTGTAAAATCAATTTACGAAACATATGAGAGAGACTGCCGTCTTCCAGCCTCGGATATTCAATTTTCTGTCCTTGCTCGTTGCGATATCGTATTGCCTGGCGATCATGGAGGCTGAAAGAGAGGATACCCATGAACGTTGTCAGTCAATACAAGTAACGAAATGTTGCTGCCCAGTAAAAATATGTTAAACGGGGCTTAGCTAAATAGGTAGTCGAAGAACCAAAAAAGTGGTACGGGTACCAATTTTATCCGAGCCGTACCAAAAATTGAGCGTAGTGTAAACAACGGGGCTTAAATAGACCATTTTAGACCATTTTTCGCTTGAACTTCCAAAAACGCTACCTTGAGTTTAAAAGCCAATATCTCGGCTAATATTTTATAGAAATGTTTAAGGCATGCATCCGAAAATTTAAGTTAGACATTACTGCGTTCAATAAACTTTATTTCAACAAGATGGCTTCTTTAGTTTTTTAATTACAATAAGTCAAAGAGGGGGACATATTTTTGCGCCATCCAGGTATTAGTTACATGGTGTGCCTTTCAGAAAGAGTATGTAGTTCTCTGATAACTCCTCAGTCACATGTGGGGCGACTGCTTCCAGTGTGACTCTACCATTTGTTTGACTGTAGTAACACTCGACTAATTAAGTTTTAACGAACCTTCAGAAACATTTAAAACTGATAGAACTATCTAGTGTAAATAAAGTTGGTTTAGTTTTTTTTGTGGAAACACTGGAATGATAAACAAGAAACGCTGGCCCAATAAGAGATGGCCCTAACCTCTAGGAATAAGTTGATAGAGCTATATACTACATACTTTACCTAGCAAAAAATGCGGTGATATGTTGGGATCGAACAACAAAATCAAAAACAGAGCGTGACACAGGTTCCCTAAGAACACTGATCAACAACACATCCTGGTCAGCCTGGACGATCTTTTCTTTCACAAACGGTCTCAATAAAGGCAACAGTTTACAATGGATATCAACAACACTCAGACTTCGGGCTACTGCAGTAACAAATCCAACAGCACCATAACGAATCCACATGTTCTACAATAAACAGGAAACCTGGACGTGCATATAGAAATCTCATCGTCTGATTCCGCGAATTATCTTTTCAGGAGGGTGGAGCGGGTGTACTTTTTATTGAGGGGTAAGGGTGCACTTTCTATCCAGGGGTAAGAGTGTACCTTTTATTCAGGGGCTACGGGGAGTACTTTCTATTCACAGGTGTCAGAGGTGCACTTTCTATTCAGGGGAAAAGGGTGAGGAAATTGAAAGGAACATTTTGAATGAAGAGGGTTTGTTACTTACCGGATGACATAGAAAAACAACAATGTCGGCAGTGAAGTCATAGAGTGTTGATTTCTGGAGTAGACCAAGTTCTGTGAGACAAGTCAGTGCATTCAATGCTTTGCATACAACAAATTCCTCAGTATCAGTAAGACCCTACAAAAACAAACACGAAAAAATAATTATTTTGTTTTGTGGAAACACCGCGTAGGGCCTTCCAGACGAACGGCGTTCGCTCGAAACGTCGAAAGCTCTCCTTGTATTTTGCAAGTAGTGTATCCCTATCAATCCAAATAAATATACTATTTTCCAAATAAATATACGTGGTGTTTTCACAAAACAAAAGAATTACAGTCATCTCACCATGCAAACATACAAAGAAAGTAGGATAATTATTAAGCTTGACAAATCACAAGTCGTATCAGGTTTTATCGACATTTTTGGCCCAGGTTGACGACGATACTTTATTTACATGTGAAATATAGCTAGGGAGAAAAATGTTCCATATACTGTGGGCACATGTATAATGGTTGAAACGAGAAATCAGGCAAAGTAGAAACTAGAGTTCAGTTGACAAGGCAAAAGGTTATGTGTTTATCTCTATATTAAAGTTGAAAAAAAATCCTGATAAATCTGAGAATAAATGAAGCTACCTGCTGCAGCAGAGGTTTAAGCATCGCCAGACTTTGCCAACCGACATACGACGCAACTCCAACAATACTATCAAAGAATGCAGCACGCAAATGCCAATCATGTTTGTCGTTTAGGAACGTGATCATATGTGAAAGAAGGACATCATTAGCTTTCTGTCTGCCAAAAAACACACATAACCGCGTGATGCCTTTCTCCAGTAATGTTTGTTTTACAATATTCTCGGAATCGCTGAGAAGATTCACCACTTTACTCTGAATCACTTCATGGAGTTCTTGCAGTTCCACGTCGTAGCTGCCCTAAAATGAGGAAAAAGAAAATGAATGCGCATTCATGATTCATCAGCAAAACACAAAGCAAATAGTAAGAAATTATATGTACTATATTTAAAACACGAGCAGGAATGCTTTATCAGAAATTAACTGCGAATGTTTTAAATGGCTTAAAAAACGACCCATCTGATGAGTTCATTGGCGAAGTAATTTTAGAAACGTTGTCTAAGGGTATAAAACCATCGACATGGTAGCGATTTACTTTGTCTTTTCCTCATGCATTATTAATGGCAGCTGGTCAACTCGGCCCACTGACCAACTCGGCCCATACCATCTTGGCCCAATTGTTAACTACTGTTTGACATATTAGGAAAGCTAATATTTTACAAAAGATAGCACCAAACCAATACAGCCATTTGCAGTTGCATTGGGCGTATAGATGAGTAAAGTTTGAGAACATCCAGTTTGACTTAATTTAATTAAAGAATCTATCGAAGTTTCAAATTCTCGATCTGTCCGTTTTCATACTAAATTGCTGATCATTTTCAAATCTCTCGCAAAATTTGCCAAGATAGAAAGCAGTCATGGCTCCTAGCTTGTTTAATGGTTAAATCAGTCAGTTTACAAACGAGCGGAGTTGGTCCTTAAACGGTGGGCCGAGTTGGTTAGTGGGCTGAGTTGACTGTAGGCGGGTGGGCGTTCAAACATTCCATGCGTTTATTGAAATTTGCTTTAGCGCCTACAGGACGAATCTGTGTCGGATCTTTTAGTTTTATCATGTTGTTCTTGAACATATTCTTGTTATCTTCCTTAGAGATTCTATAACTTTTAAATATTTCAAAAACCCACCCACCTGGTATCGCAAAGTCTGCTGCGTTCCTCCATCTTCCGTATCCATGTTATTATACCGTAACTGAGCCATTTCCAGGAATTTCAGCGCGGTCTCTGCTATAGGTGCGATGTTCTCTGCGTAGGCTATACGAACTATCACCTCTTGATCATCGGGAAAATTAGCCAATGCAGGAAGTATGTACTCTGGGAAGATGTTCCCCTCATTTGGTGGCAACATTTGTACAAGTTGTAAGGTCTGTGTCAAGGTCCAAAGTGCCCGGGCTCTAACCCGGGGTACACTATCTCCGATAAGGTATAAAATGTACGGTACAACTCTTTCTAAAATCATTTCATCGTTTGAGTTCTGTGCCAATAGTAGTAGCAGGTCTAGGCATTTTAACTTCGAATCACAGTACTGAAACACAAAAACGTCTATGAATATAAAAGCTTTTGTGTTTACAACGATTGTGATATTATGTTCTTAACCGTGTTTATCCTTCCCTGTGGGAGAAAACCGGAGTGCATGAAAAAAACCCCCAGAACTTTTGGCAGAGCGTCGACTGACTCTTTTCACATGAGGCTGTAGTGAGAATAGAACCCACGATCTCAGAGGTGAACGGCGCTTTCTCTGTCGACTGCGCCACCAAAGCCCCACTTTACTTGAACTCAAAATATGTTTGTGAAATATTATTATATATTGTATATTGTATATTGTATATTGCATATTGCATATTGCATATTGTATATTGTATCATACACGAATGAAAATGAAGAAGAAAAAAATGCTACTCACAACACAGTTCCGAACACTTGACGTAACCAAGGAAATAATTAAAACGAGGCTACCTGAAATCAAAACAATATAGTTATATTGTAAAATCATTCTTCCTACACTAAACCCTTGCAAAGGAAAGATCAATATTTCAATGTACACCAAAAACCGTCAATGCTCGGATGCATACAGAAAAACTGCCACTAGTCGAATGTAAAGATGGTCAACAGCCGATTACCGATCAATGATCGGCAAGAAATTTCTTATGATCGGCGGAAAAGCAGGGTTTCCAACCTGAAAAAGCAGGGAAAGTCATGACTGCCGATCACCATGATCGGGGACTTTGGGAACGTTATTTCAAGCCCTGACATTGGAATGCA